CGGCGGGACCGAGGGGCTGTGGGAGGTGGACGCGCTCAGCCCCCCCAGGAGAAGCGCTGAGGGGTGCCCCCGAAATGTTAAATAAACGTTAATCCCGCTAACGTCTGTGTTTGGCCAGAATGACTTGCCACCAGACCGACAGCGTCATCAAGAAAATAATTCGAGAAATCGGACAAGAATGCTCCGCCCAGGGACAAAGCGTCTCTGAAACCTTGGTGGCATTCGTGGTAAGCACAAATTAAATGTTTAGGGTGGCTTTCTTTGTGTTCTTTGTGGTTTGTTTGGTTTGGTTTTTTTTTTAATTCTTATTTCATCTGTGTGTTCTAATCACGTTCAAAGTTGTCTTCCAGAAAATACAAACATAAATATGCATTGACAGCACATAGAACAGAGCTTTCAAACCTAGTCCCCATAAGCTCAGCAGTTCAAACTGTTTTTTAAGGCGGTCATGCGGCAGAGGCTTAATTTTACACATGCTGAATAGTTCCCCTGAAGTAGCTGACTGACACTCCTCAGACTGAGTGAAGTGAGGACGTAAATCACTCCTCTGGTGTTAAATTTAAGTCAAAAAACTTCAAATGGCAGTTGCATGGCAGCTTGCCCAGGCTGGGATGGCAGCAGCTGTGGCTTTCGGGGTGATGAGCTTCGAAACATCTTGGTTTCTGGTTGCCCACATTAGGGATTTTTAAAGGGGCATTGAGTAATAGTATAGGGTCAAAAAAAACTGAGAAACTATTCCATTTCTCTGAAATGCTATATGTCTGAATATAAGGCCCTGAAAAGGTTGCAGGTCCTGAGTCCTGGGAACAGTCTGGACTCAGAGTTCTCCCTCAACTTTCTTCTACAGAGAGATAAACCATTTTTTCTTTTTCTGAAGTGAAAAGAGGCATCTTCTCAAGTTTTAATAGCAATCTCCCCACTCATTAATGAACAACGATACATGCTGGATAGGTGAATGTTTATTGCAGCAGCTACATTTATTCTTTGATATTTACCTCTTCCCTCTGTTGTGATGAATTCTTTTGTTTGTTTCTGTATTCAAGCAGGGCCAGGTACTATAAATGGGCCGAATATTTGAAGGAGTGGGCTTGGATCCCACTTAAACTAAAAATGAAATGGAGTCAGTCTCAGCTTTGTCCTTGCTAGACAACTATAAGTGACATAAGAAACATTACACGCTTTGATATCTGATCTTGGGAAACACAGCACTGCTGCAGAATGTAGTCCAAATCCATCTGCAAACCTGTGTCTGCAGAAAATGGAGCTAAGTTGTTTCTTTATTGATGGTAAAAGAACAGAATCAGCTCTTGACGAAGTTGTATGTGAACGTAAATGGTTCAAAGCAGTACTCTTAGTCTGCCATTTATTTTCCTAAAGGTGGCTTTAAAAAAATACATTGGGCTCAAAAGCAGTATTAATCAATTAAGCTTGAAAATTTTCATCATTAAAAAAAATTTTGCATATGTCTGACAAGAGACCCAGCATTCATACCAGTTGCAAACACACTTCCCTGTATACAGAACATGATGGATTTTTTATCCAAATTGTAAACATTTATACTGATGCATACAGCACCAGCTGAGAAGTCTATAAACAACCAGGATGGATTTTAGGAAAATTTTACTTAGAAAAATATTTTTTCAGGGAAATTTGTAAAGGAACTGTATTTAAATATTCCTCTGCAAAGTTTGCATCACAAATAGGTTTTTTTATCCCACTTATGTCTGAGAACTGAAACTGGCAACAAATGAAATGAAATAACTTTGTTCCATTCTCAAAGATTGCAAAAAAAGAATATTAAAAAAATGCTGACTGGATCTGATATTTTTTAGAAGTTATAAAGTTAGTTGCGAAGAGTGTGTGTTGAGATGTAAATTAATAGGTTTCTTCTGAAACCGATCTCTAGGTGAAAGCTGTTGGTTTAGATCCAAGAAATGCCTTCAGTGTGGATCAAATCCTTACCAAAGAAGATATGCAAAATCTTGTTCAGGTAATTTTGAATGATGGTGCGAATCAGTTCTTAGCTAGGACTAACTTTATTTGCTATATGTTCCTGTAGCTAAAATGCCATTTTATTTTGATACGAACTTTCAAATTTTTAATGCTATTTTATTCTCATAATTCTGTAGCTAAAGGACTGGATTATGGCTTCCCTCTTGTTAATAAATGCCTTATACTTTGTAGTGCTCACCATGTGTCAACAGAATGGTCAGGGAGGGGGCTCTGCTGCTGTTCGGAAACCTGTAGCATAGTCACTGTCAGTTCAGATGTTTCCCTTGTGGTGAGAAAGAGCTCACTTCTCTCTTTTCTTAGCTCTGTGTTTCCAGGCTGCTTGACACAACAAACCCGTCCCTGAGCACAATTAAGATGCAAGTTTACTTTGATACAAACTATGCAAACCGAGGTAATTTCAAGATAAGTAAATCTCTTCATAAAAGAAGTTGACTCTGTGTTTAGAATTTAATCTCTCTCTCTGTAGGGCTAATAATGTTCCTGTTAAATGACTGCTGGTAGTAAAGTGAAACAAAAATCCCTGGAGAAATGTGCTATATGGGAGTGTAGTGTTTCGGTGGATATAGTAGGGAAAAAGCGTACATAAGATTTGAGACTGCACTAACCCTGCCTGAGAGATCTCCTGAACGCAGTGTATTAGATCACTGGAGAACAGTTACACTTCCAGATGCAGTGGCTAGCTGCCTGCAGAAAGGAAAACTTGCCCTGCAGCTGTGTATCTGAAAGAACCAGTAGCCAGAACTGCATTCATGCATCTGAAAAAGAACTTGTTTTTTTACCAATATCCATAATTGAGATGAGTAATCTTGAATAGTTACAGTTTTGACCAAATATATTTTGGTCTCATACAGTCTGATAATGGGAATGTGGAATTAAAATGAGATGGGGAGAATATCTCTGCTGTGACTGTAATTTCAGATCTCAATGGGATAATGGGGGTGGCTGGGACACAGAACACACAGAATAAGTACACAAACCCACAACATTCTGTGTGGGGAGATGATGAAAATGTTTCTTTGTTAGCACGGATTAAGCCTCAAAATTAGAAGAACTAGAATGCTGCTTCAGAGTCTTTTGGACTCAGTAAGCTGAGAAGTCCAGTAAGGTTCTAAGATCCTGAGCAGTGTTCAAATTTGAGCATGTAACTTCAGGTGTGTATGAAATGTGTGTGTGTGTGTGTGTGTGTGTTAGGTCCTACTGCAGTCACAGTCCAGAGGCTTGCTGCTTGATTTGGCCTGTATAGTTCTCTGGAGTCTACTGACTGATGTTAATCATGCTAATTATGTTCAGCTCCACCGCTGTTTGGTACCTGGAACACCTCTTCCACATATTTGTGCTTCAGAACCCTTAAGTTGGCGCTCAGACTGTGGAAAAGAATGGCACCCTCTGTATAAGCCAAATTGCAAGGAATTTAGGTAGCACTTTCTAACTGCCCTTCTTTCCTAGGTGAATTGCTCGGTGAGCAGCAGCGTGTTCTGGAGGGGAGGCTGGCTCCTGTGGTCAGAGACATCACCGATAGTCGGCCTCGCCTGCAGGAGGAGATGCAGCACGTGTATCAGAAGATCATTAGCTACGTGCTGCTGAGCTCTGGCCTGGGATCCCCAACAGATATTGAGGTTGTCAGGGAGGTAACAGGTCAGTAAACTCTCAGCTGTGAAATCTGGCTTTTCTTACTGAAAAATAAAATTTCACCTTCTCTTTGCTGATCATTAGATTTGGATGTGATAAACGGTGGTGAATGTTTACTACCCAATCTATCACTTCTAATCCTGGAAGTCTAAATTTGCCATGGGTTTCTACCTTTTGCAATTGTTCAGGAGAGAGTATTTTTTGCTTGTTTTAATGATTTTCTTTTCTGTTCCCTCATATTGAGGGGTTTTTGACCCTTTGTAATGCTTGTAGCTGCCCTGCAGAGTGTATTCCCCCGGACAGAGGTGACTACTTTCATCTCTCTCAGTAAGAAGAACAAGGAGCAACAGCTGAAGAACTTTGCCATGCTAGTTACAGGAATTCGTCTGTACAACAAGGAATGTGGGAGAGGAGGAAGAAGCATTGATGACTGTAAGTAGGCAACTGCATCTGGGCTGTGTATTCCAAATTAATTCTTCCTGGCCTTCTTCACTGGAGTGGCTCCAACAATATCTCACATCTCTCTAGGTAAACAGCTTTGACTCAGGGTCTGTAAACCTGAAGGAAAAGTACATCTTTGGTATTTAATTGTGGGTTTCATTGTAGACTACTACTTGTTAGCTAAGAGGGAGCTCTGTGTGGTTCATGTGGAAGGATTATATGTATTAACATCATGCAGCAGTTCACCTCATGATAACTTGTTCACTGATCATTTACCATTAAGTGAATTAAATATGTAATGTTTGTCTTCAAAAGCACTTAATTAAAATCTTCAAAGTACACTGTCAATCCAATTACAATTTTCTGTTGAGTATGTGTGATGAAGAGTGATAAATGTTGCTGGGGCATTATCTGTATTCTAGAGATTTTGAATAACCTTTTCAGATTCTTAACATATTCTCAATAATCTACATTTTGAATCTTTCTGCTTCTTTAATAAGCAAAAAATGACAGTGACTATCCTGGAATTTTTCAAAAAGCTGTATTCAGAGTAGGGCAAGACTTTGCTGTTCCTCTTATTTTCTGTTTTCCCAAAGGCCACATTATTTCTGATACGTTTACAATTTATGATCAGATAAATGACTGGTCAGTGGAAATGTTTTTGTGTGTGTGCATGTACCATTGTAGCTCGGTGTGGAGACCTCTTTTTAAGAAAGGTCTGCAGCCCAGTTTTAGGGGGAATACATTTTATTTTAAGAGGCCATAGTTTCCGGAATAAAGGCTACAGCACATACCTCCCCTGGTAAGAAACTTGTGTTTAATTGGAAAGCAAAGCAGATGCTTAGCTAGATGATACTTTAAGTAAAGCATATAGGTAGGGAAAAAAATATACCTATGACATTAGAAAAAGAAGTACTCAACTTCCTAGATCTTGATGATTTTTTCTCACACGCTAAGCAAGGCATTGTTGGTTTTCTATTTTTATAATGTATACTTTGCCACAAATGTCACCTTTCTATGTATTGCACTGCTGCCTGGTGATGTTGCTGTTATTGAAAGTGCCAAACAGACAACAAAGGGCTGTGTCGTGCACTTAAAGAAGGTGTCTAGGCCTTCTTATCCTATTTCTTTGCATAGATGTCTGCTTAAATGGTAAAACATATCAAAACATTCAGTGTAATGGTTGTCTGACATTGATAATTAAAGAAAAAATATTGTTTATAGTATGTTTTATATGAGCTTTGTTGACCTGTACCATTTGGGAGAATTTGTGGGGGTTTTAAGTACTAGTGTTGCATTTTAATACATGCACAGGCATATTTTTTTGTGTAGTATCTACCTTCTGGTTTTAGTAATAATCTTTGACTCATTCCTAGAGCGTTGTCACATCTCAAAGCACCCAAGAAATGGGAGGCCTGTTACTGTTATTAGTATTTTGCAAATGAGGAAGCTGAGAATTTGAAAATTGTGCATATTGCCTAAAGTCTCTCGGGAAACCCATCTCAGTAGGAGCAACTGAACTGCATCTACTATACAGCAAGTTTTTTTCACAGTCCTTGATTTGACTGAGGTGGTATTTCCACACCTGTAATTGTGACTCTTTGGAGCCACTTGACTAGTAAAATACAATGGTCCTATCTAGTAGGCAAGTATATGGAAATGCATAAGGACAAAATTTAGATATTAAAATTTTATTGGAAGACTGCTTTGCTCAAATACTGCCCTTTAATAATTTGCTAATGATTTTAATAATTCTCTTTATACCAATCTGATATTTATCCTATACAAATAGTGCCAGCCATTCTGAGTGAAGCCATTCCGTCGGCGGCACGGGCTGCCGAGGAAGGTCTGAACACTTGCCATGTGCTGGCCCACCAGTACACAGCTCTCTTGGAGGCCACGCAGGAAGACCAACACAGATACACACAGCTTGGTCCTTTTAAATTAAAAGAGGCACTGTTCAATGTGAGACAATATGAGGCCTTCCTTTGCATCCTTCTGGTGAGATACTATCATGTTCTATCCTGTGGGGTTTTACTGCAGATGCAATGTATTCATTGTACAGGACAGAAATATAAGAAAAATGACTCAGAAATAAATGGAATAAAATTTATCGCTATATATGAGAACCTGCATCATCTGTCATACTGAACTTTGTACCTAACTTGCTGGGTTTGGCTGCTGTTAGGTAAAAGGCAAAATGGATGTATTGTTTGCTGCAATGTGACTGTGCTTCCATTTAATTTCTGGAGGTTTCCTTTTTTGTATAATTTCATTAACAGGAGGACTTTTTTCTTTTTTGCATACTGATACTCTGCCTCAAAAGGCATGAGAGAAAAAAATCTCCTTGTTCAATCCATAAATCATCTCAATTTTAGTCTGCAGACATCCGCAACACATATAAAGTCATGAGAAGTCTTTGAAGAATACAGCTTAAATTCTTAAAACATGTTTTATTTATGAAGACCTTTCCATTTATCTTTTGAGAAACTTCAGGGTTTTAATAGTCTTTCCTGTGTATCATAAATCCTGAATACCATTTCTTTTAATTTTTTTTTCATTTCTCTTCGTTGTAAAAATGTAGAGGTTTTCTATAAAAATTACTAGTTTATGTTTGAAAGAAGCACCTGGTTTTATACCTGAACACTTAAGGAAAAATGTATTTGTGGGAAGTTAGGGTGCATTTCATTCCTTAAAACAGTTGCCTCAAAATAGTTGAGTGAAGAGATCTAAGGAAATGCTTACCACTAAATGCTTGATTTTTTGACTGTCAGCCTTCTTCCTCAAAGTGAGTTCTCTTTCCAGTCTGATGCGATTACAAGTGCTCAAGAAGTTGAAAAGATGAATGTGCAGTTCACAGCAACAATGGAGCAGCTGAAAAACACAGTGCAGAATAAAGTTGCCATAGATACCAAGGAAGTTTTTGTAAGTACCTTGAATGGAAAACCTATTTCTTCTTAATTAGAAAAAAATTACTAAAGTGTTAGAAAATACTTGCCTGTGTATTTTTGCATAGTTTGTGTTTAGAAAAAGGCTACATTATTTTCTCTGTATTGTAACAGCATCTGTGATTTTTGAAGGGGCAACTAAACTAAAAGACTTGCTTTCAAGGTAAAAGCAAAGCAAGATACAAAAATGGAGAGAAAAAATTAAATGTTATTTTACTGTGTCTTGAGTAATTTGTCAGTATTTGTAGATTTACAGTGATATTTTCCTGTTTTTTGTAAATAGTCTCTCCTGTTCCTTGCAGAAATAGTAAGACCACAATCATGAACAGATAACAGCACATCAGAGTCTGATTGTTATAAAGTCCCTTCAGCTAGCAATTCCTATAATTACAGCATGACTCCTTCACTTCCGTTTTCTAAAGAAATCAGGTTTCTTTGATGGGGGTTTCAGCCTCTTTGCCCTTCCCAATAGGTTCTGAACATGTTTGCCAGTTTCAGTCAAATATGTCAGAGTCCTGAGATCTCAAAACATGTCACTTTCTGCAAGTTTTGTGAAAAACAAGCAACTAGAGAGGCACAGTTAGAGCCCTGCTGAGATAAGGTCTGAAGTGGGAATGGCACAGTTAGTTACCTGCTGGTTTCTGTGCTGCCTGCCCAGTGAGCAGCCACGCACCTCTGCATGGTTGATGTCCTGCTCTGCTCCACCCTTAGCTGGGAGCTACAGGATGTGGGAGGGAGGTGCTGGAGGAAGACTGAACGAGTGACCTGAACTGCAGACGCTGTGAGGGAGAGTGCTCGATGGCCTGTGGAAATGTGGGATTGTTCTGATGGCATGGGAAAGGGAGACAAATGTGTCAGAAACCAGCTTCATGTAATTTGCTTTTCTTGGAAGCGCTGGTTATTTTGTGCAATGTGGCTGTCAGTTTCCTTTGAGTTAGCTGCTGAACTAGCATGCAGTTCATACATACGTTATATTTTATCTTTCTACACAAGTAATTGGGAAGCAAAATAAAGTCTGCTGTGGATGGGGAAGGAAGGAAGATGGTGCTAGACTTCCCATAATCTGAGCTGGAAGCTCATTGGGAACGGCACTAACTGAGGCACATCCCAGATGTGATCTGATGTTTCAGTTTATGCGTGCTTGTAATTTTATAAGCCAGATGTTCCCATTTGGAAAACATGTTCACCTCTTGTCCAGCTGCTCAAAGCAGTTTTCTCTGTTCTGTATCTGTGGGGATTAGGTGACTGATAGGCATGTTACCCTTTTCCCTAGAAGCCGTCTGTGGTTGTCTGCTTCTTTCCCAGATGTTCTTCTCTCTTCAGATTAGTTAGTTGCTTTTTCCTCTCTGCTGAAGACAGAATATGTAATACCTTTCGATTTCAAATCTTTTGCAGGTAGAGATTTCTTTTATTAATACACCATATAAATAGTTATTGTCTTCAGCTAATTGCTGAGAAGCTGGATCCTCTGCAAATGTAGAAAAGCAGGGCATTCTGCCTTTTAAAAACCAGAGGATAAGGCATATATTCATAGCAAAGATTTGTTTTAAGAAACAGTAGATTTCATTAATATTCTTTGTTTATTCTAGTAAGAAAGATTTTGATCTTGCTGCCCTTCCTTTGATTTCTTCCATTTTTGTAGCCATAACATTTCCACAGAGTTAGTGATGCCGATGAGTTCCAGAGCTGACTGTTGGCTGTTCTTATAATAATGTTGTTAAAATGCATAAAAGAAAATGTTATTAGTGTGCATTTCAGATTTGTTGAACTTTTTCCTATAAAAACCTGTGTCTTTAGATGTAACAGGGTGCATTTAATGTTGCTGTCATTGAAATAATTATTTATCCTAGAGGCTCATAGGCTCCTTCTGTCTGTGTGTGTACGCTTACATGTCAGCTTTGCTGCTGGGAATGGGAGTTTCCAGTTTTGTCCTGAACCCTGTACCACCCTGAAGAGGCTGGGGGCTGTGGTACCAAACCACTCTGGAAGAAGGGCAAACTAAATAACAAAACCTGAGAGTCTGTGTCTACAAGTGTGGGCTTACTTCATTTGGTATTTAACCAGGTGCATTTCTTCTAGTGTTTCTTATTCCTGTACCCCTGTATTCCTGTATCATATCTATTCAGTTATAAAACTGCATTTTTAGCAAACTGTTTGATTCCAAGCATGATCTGAGAAGATATTTGGGAAAAGCTCTGGAGTAAAATGTAGAAAAGTACCATTCTGGCCTGTGGGCAGTATGGTGGACATAGATGCTTTGCACATACCTGATTGGAGCTCCTCTTAAAATACCCAGGAGTTCCCCTGGAATTTCTGGGTGCTGAAGGCCTTGGAGATCAGCCCTGCTTTGTTCATGGCAGGGACTGTTGTGCATGGCACTTGGGTTATGCTGCAGACATAAAACGAATCTGAATTTCAGACCATTTTCTTTATTTTCTAGCCTCTCTTCATTGCACTTTCTAACCTCTGGACCAGCTTTCAGGATGAGATGCTGCTGTTAAGCTTCCTCACAAATATGATTAACAATCTGCAACAGTTCTCAGAAATCCAGTCACAGCTTTTTCCTGAGGAAGTGCTAACATCTCTTCTGGAAGGAGTGACTGTGAAAAGTGATGAGGAAAGGATAAGAGAAACCATGGGTACTGGAAGTTGCTACTTCTTTGTTTTCCTTCATTTTTCAGGATTTTGTGGTTTGAGTGTTCTTTACAGAAGGTGAAACATGTTGGTTTTTTAATAAACAGAATTGGTACAGTAAATTAAAGTGAATCTTGTACTGTGTGGATTTATTTTTCATGTAGTGCATTATATTTTTATATATAAAATTGAAATATAGCTACTAGATACAAATATATCTTGTAAAACTGGCAGAGCAATCAGAGAAGAATATTTGTGGTTTGTTTGTTGTTGTTGTTTTTTTTTTATTTTGGAAGTTTGTTTTTGTCTTTTTATACCTTTCAGAACTTCTGAAATGGAGGGGGAAATAAAAAAGCGAAGTTAACAGGGCTTTGGTTACCAGAACTATTTGTTTGTAAGATGGTATCCCTAGCAACCAAGTTACACTCCTGGGGATTTCTAATGCATGAGTGGGTGAAAACAAAATAGAGGAGTAAGATATTACCTTCCTGCTGTTGTCCCTTGTTTCCAAAATCTAATGCTGCTAAAGAAGGCTCCTGCAGGACTGATTTTTCAGCAGGCTCTCTCTTAAGGCAGCACTGAAGTTTGGCTTTTGGGATCTTGGTACTGCAGCTCACCCTGTGAAGATGAGAGTAATCTGGTTATCCATTATTATTTTTTCATTCATTATTATTTCATTCAATTCATTATTATATGTTAAACATCTGATGTTTTGTTACTGAAATCCTTTCTTTGTTAAACCTTTTCTTAGGAACCAGAGTGAATGCTTCTGATTTCAAGAACCAAGAATGGTTTTATCCAGAGACTACTGATAATTTTGATCAGTTGCTAATCCAGTACCATGGTTTCTGTGCACATGCAATTGGTGTGAAAGGCCTCACCCTCCCAGGTATGCTTTGTAGTTAGGTCCTCTCCATGCTTTATATGTACACAAGTACTAGGGAAGATGTGGAGACATGTTCTGAATGCATCCTCTTATGTCAGAGCTGTAGTTCTGTATTTTCAGGTTTGTAATTTTCACCCCAGGGGGTGAAAATTTTCACTGTTGGTATTTTTCACTTTAAAATACACAGATAAACTGCCATAATAGAAGGCAGGAGGGCTTTTTAAGAAATTAGGCTAAAGCAAGCAGAGGCAGAAAGAAGATGGGATGGATAAATGTTTGCTCGCATCTGTATCACCTCCACTGCCTCCTGAATGCAGGTTTGCTTACTGCTGTTAATGTGTTGTAATGCGGGCACAGGAAGATGGTCATTCCTTCTGTTTTGTTTATCTGCATGTTACAAAGACACCCATTCATGCCTACATCATATGTATTTTTAAATAGTTTGTTTACAAAGTACTAAAAATCCGCTCTGAAAAAAATGCAGAAGTGCATGTAAGTTAACTAATCATAGGAAATTTTCTGGTCTCTTCTAGGGTCATCAGGCCTTACTCCAGCTACCCCATCAGTCCATGTTTTCTATCTCCCTATCCTTTATAGGACCTATCCACACTGAAGTTTTTTTAACCTGCAGGAGTTTGGGAGTGAAATATTTGCATTCCTTGGCAGTATTAAAAAATAGTTATTTTAACAGTGGTGTAAATTACTGACACTTCATTAGTATTTCACGTGAGAAGAGCTGTCCTGGGTTGGACTGAAGGTCTCGCTAGCCCTGTACCTGATTTCTGGATGTGGACAGTCATGAACACTCAAAGATTATGAGACATCAAGTAGGAATGATCCTTTTTTAATTATATTCTTCCCTGTTGTAGCAGTTAGTGGTTATAGGATTTCCTCAGATAAATGTTGAGTCTGTAATCTTGTGTTGAATAACCCTTGATAGAGATTTTTAATTTATCTAATTGCGTTTTGAATTGAATTAGAGATTGTCATGGAATATTCTTATTGTCAAGAGTCCCACAATTATATTTATATATACTGTGAAAAGGTATCTCTTTCTGAGGTGGTCTTAAGTTCTGGCTTGATAATTTCATCAGAGACCTGGTAGTCTTTCTATTAGGAAAATTAGCAAATAGTAATTTTATATTGCATAATTAATGATTTTATAACCCCATATCATATTATGTCTTTTCCACTGCTTCTTTTTAATGCTGAAGAGACCTCTTTCTTTAACCCCCTCCTGTGAAAGGTCCTCCAAGCCACTGACTTCTCCCAGCTCCCTTAATTTTGCTAGTTCTTATTCTGTTGTGTTGGAACAAAATGTAGTATTACATATGTAGCATATAAATTGTTATAATGTTGGCTTTGTTCTCCCCTTCTGTTTGCATCCTAATAATTGCTGACATTCTTTTTGGTTTTTTGATTGCCACTGAGTAGTGCCATTTAGTACTGCCAAGGCAATGTCTGTGATGATCCTAGGTCTTTCTTAGCAATGACAGCTGAACCAGAGCCTGAAACTGGCCTTGAGCTCAGCTTGTGTTTTCCTATATAAGTTATTTGGCCTTTATTTCAGTAAGGCGTTTGACAC